GCACGCATATTCGCTTCTATTCATAACTTAAATTAATTGGTTACTGGCCGGCATGTCCCCATGTGATCTTATGAAATATTTTATTCCTGTGACGTTCCAACCGGCGTATTCCAGCGAAAGTTTGGTATTAGAAAACACTTACAAAGTGGTGACATAATTCAGACATCTTGACAATTTTCGGGCAATCAGCTTATAGTATCAGAATTGGTGGATTCCATGCGTTACAGTAAAGCGGGAGGGTAACTTGACTCAAATGTGATTTAACTAACAGCTCCTGGTGGGCTGTTGACTGTACTCCCACCTGGCTCGGGTTGCCATGGTTGAACCCCATTGAGGCCATCGAGGTTTTCATAACTGGGTCAAATGAAACTGAAAATTGCCATGTTTTGTAAACCAATCTGCTCGACAATCCTTCTTCCTTATCCATGAATATACTTGGAACGCGAACTTTTTCATTCATTCCTTACCTAGATAATGCAACTAATCAATTCAAAAAAGAAAAGGGGAAACGCTAGCAGGATGATTTGACTGGCAGCGCCTGGCCATCGGATCCGGTGTTACACACTGCTTAAATAAGATTGTTGACTAAATCTAGGTTAAGGCGATGAATGTTGGTTGACGTTTTGCTTTTGCATGGGTGCTTGACCACATCCTCGGGTCTATTCAAGGTATTAACAGATTGACGTTTCCAAAACATCTAATTGGGAAATAGGCTTAAATTGTCTAATGAGCCAAGACCTTCAATCGGCTTCTCCAATGACTGACGTGTGTTGTAATCGACCCTGTTCCTATTTAAATACACTGGTCTGAATAGAAACGCTAGCTCGCGAAACAGCCTTCTTCTTTGGGCCATCATGCGCATGGTCTGGCATGAAACGCAATTCGAAAAAAATGAATGAGAAGGAATCTCTCAACCATGACGTGTTTCAGCCCACAACAGAGTCGTTAGGTACACTGATTCGCATGCTACAGTTAAAAATTAGAGATAGATCCACGAAGACAAAAGATAATAAGACTGAGCGTCTTAACCACCCAAAGCTTCGACCGACGCCAGCTAAATGACAGGAACTGATATCTGTAGACAAAAATCGTGGGTAGAGACAAACAGGCAGGTGCGAGGCGCCACAAGGTCGAAGCAACGTTAATTTGTCCGTATTAGCCAGTATTTGTGGGTGCCCTAATCCACACTCGAATGGGTACGCAGCCTTCGCAATTGCCAAAACGTTTTCTCGGATAAACAACAGACAGAACGTAAAATTTGTAGGCCAGCGACGTATAAAGATGCGGTCAAACCTTCGCATGGGCCTGGTAATGACAACTGACACAGTCAGTTTGTCGTTCACCACACAGAGGGGGGTGGACGGGGAGGCGAGGAAGGAAAGTAAGTCCACCCCATTGGGCCTGTTGACGAAAAATGCCGAAATATATGTGCACAGCAACATCGTTTACCCTTTCCGTGGAAGCAAATCAACTGTAGTTTTCGCTGAAGGCGGTGTAGGTGACGGATGCAACACACTGCGTGCATTTGCATAGTGGCATATTCATTACGCAGCCAAACACTTAAGTATACGACAGTTCGACGATGTTCACCACGAACTTCAGCAAGCTGAAGGCAGACGCGGTGACTCACGCGGGGTTATAGTGAAAGTAGACACGCCGGATTTACCCCACTCTCTGACCACGCCCACGCCTCAACCCGATGTCAAAGCGAAAGTCGAGAAGACCGGAGATGGGAGAGGGCGCAGTCGGTGTATAGGAGCGCCATAAAGCCCACATTAAGAGAGAACCATTGAGCCTGACTCTCAGTCCGCAGTAAGCCACTCCACTCAACAAGACACACTGGGCTGACTGCGGTGTCGAAATTATTTCGTCAGTTGGCAACCCTCCAAGCCAGGGCTTTTAGCGCACCGTGATAGCTTCAATCGCATCAGATTGTCTTAAGTGAGGACAGAAATACGCTGAGGGCCAAACCCACTCCCTCCCCCACCACCAGGAACAGACCACTGCCACAGACCACAGACACACATACATTAAACTTCAGCTCAAAACATCGCCACACTGGCATATGAGCGAGTTCAAATCTACCTTACTGCTGAAGCCAATCCGACGCTAAAATGTCTCCCTAAAACAAGGCTCACTATTAGAATTTCCTGAAAATTGTAGCTTGGAGGATTGTAAACCAATGAAATCCCTCGGTCCAACAGATGAAAGGTCAGATTGCAAGGGTTTCTTCTTAAAGCGGTCTTAAAGGCATCACGCACTTCTGTTCTCTGATGGAATCTTATCAGTGTCCATGCAGGGAGGAGGCTGTCTCGCATGCGAAACTGTAAATGCAGGCACGTCAACCAATGCGCCCACGCTCGCCGCCAGTCGTCTTGATATTGCAATGGGGCACGCAGGGGAAGAGAAAAGAGGGATTTATTTTGACATTGAATTAAGAGGAGAGGAAAAGGGTCTGATCTGGGCACTGGGCCATAATTTTTAGTTAAAATCTGACTGAGAGACTTTAGAAGAACCGAGTGGATTTCAGTCATGGCTTGGAGGGTTACTAACCGAAAAACTCGGTCCAACTAACAAGGCTCTTTCTTAACACAAATTTGAAACAAATCCGACTGAATGGGATAGGGGAAAGGGGGAGAAATTTCGGGTTAGTTATCGAAAGCGGGTTAATTAAACTCAGCGTTTATTTAATGGAGAGATGAGTGCAGGAAATGACAATGAGGCCGATACTGCGCAAGTTTCCCTAAATGTAGTCCAATTAGCATCCAGTTCGCCAAAGCCTCCCAAAAAATTGCTAATCTCGGCAAATTATACACGGACGAACTATCAATATGGAAATTTGCATGCAGGCTTTCACCACTTAATCCTACGCAATGGATGGAATAAATTAGATGAAAATGCCACAGCATGAAACAGTAGATGCATATCAGGAAGAAAGCGGAAGTTTGCGGTAGACACTACTGCTGCTGCCAGGCACCGGTTGATCAAGAAAACTGCTTTCTGAATTGGGTGAAGCAAAGGGCCATTCAACATAGCAACTGGCTGTAGGTACATAAAGCAGACATAACCAACATGCTACTCTCTAGTTCTGGCGGTAGTATTAAATGCCATAAGCATACCTTGCCGATGCAATTTTAAATCAGATAGTGAGTCTACGGTCAATTAATTACCTCCTTGCGGCCTTGCCTTCTCCTCGTTGTCCGGATTGCCGGCGTTTAAAGGGTCCATCTCATCATCCTCATCAAAGGTACTCTGGTGCTTCCTCGGGGAGCTGGAGTTAGCTGCTACAGCTTTCATTTCCATTTCGGACTCCCGCGAAGATGTTTTCGGTCCTTTGAACTTCCTGTTATGCTCTGATGTTTTGGATCCGTGAGAGGGAGAGCCCATGT